GGTTTGGGGTTTTAGGGTTTAGGGTCTTTTGGTTTAGGGTTTGGGGTTTTAGGGTTTGGGGTTTTAGGGTTTTAGGGTTCAGGGTTTTAGGGTTTGGGGTTTAGGGTTCTAGGGTTGTAGGGTTCAGGGTTTTAGGGTTCAGGGTTTTAGGGTTTGGGGTTCAGGGTTCTAGGGTTGTAGGGTTCAGGGTTTTAGGGTTCAGGGTTTTAGGGTTTGGGGTCTTAGGGTTTTAGGGTTCAGGGTTTTAGGGTTTGGGGTTTCAGGGTTTTAGGATTCAGGGTTTTAGGGTTTGGGGTTTTAGGTTTTAGGGTTCAGGGTTTTAGAGTTCAGGGGTTTAGGTTTCAGTGTTTAAGGTCCACGGTTAAGCATTGAAGTGTACAGTTTAGGGTCTGGGTTTGGCGGTGTAGTACGTGGGGTGTTAAGCTTAGGATATAGGGTTGGGTTTTCAGCTTTGGATTGGGGATGCTTTCGGGGCTGCTGCTAGGTGCTAGAACATGGAATTCTTTTCTTAGGTCTCATGTGGGGAGTATATATGCGGATTTCTTGAGATTTTTCGATTCCCTACAGGACCGGACAGGTAGAAGAGATTTCCCGTCACAACCGAGTCATATCATATGGTGCCTTATAGTTGCAATCCTCATAATAGAGACCCTCGCAATGGACCTCTAATTCCAGAAGCCCCCATATGAGCTATATCCTAAACTGCCAGTATCCCCCTATGCTACTCTCCTAAATAATCCCTGATAGAAACCTCATTCAAGGAGTTTAGACCTTAAACTCTAAATCCTAAACCCTAAACCCTATATAACCCTCATGTTACCCCCCAAGGAGTTTAACCTATGGCTCACATAGCCGCCCAGTAGCCAACCGGCCTGAGGGCGCGAGCATCTTATGCAACCTAAACCCTGAACCCTAAACTTCCATCCCCCAGTCCCCCTTAAGTAAATAAGATATGGGGTTATACGGTATATGGGGATCTTTTTATAATATGCCCAAAGCCATATTCTATCTACTTAAGGGGGACTATAATCCCTAAAGCCAGAATCCGTAACCCCTGAACCTGTCGGTAAGCAACGCTGATGAAACAAGATTTAAGTGCTTTGGACCCTGACCGACCACGAAGCTGTTTGCGATAAGCAATAATTCCAAACCCCCAAGCCCTAAACCCCTCAACACTAAATTCTCGAAACCCTAAACCCTAAACCCTAAACCCCTGAAACCCTAAGCCTTAAATCTTGTGCAGAAGCGGCGCCAGGCTCAAATGGCTACAAACTCCGCTCAAAATGCATCGACCTCAGAGTACGGAGGTGTGGAGAGTTGGTTTTGCAATGGACCTGTAGGGGTACGTAGGGATAGGGTTTAGGGTTTAGGGTTTAGGGTTTGCTGGCGCCACGGAAATACAGGTTTTCGTCATTTTGTATAGGGCTAGCAAGTTTGTAGAAATACCCATGTTTGCTGCACTTGGTCTTGGACTCTCCCAAACCCTATACCCCAAAACTAGTTACCCTAGTTACTGTTAAGGTTATAAGCCCAAGTACACCTGAGCTACAGTCTAAACTCCTTAAAGGTGATTATATAAGGAATTATATAGGGGACTACTCTAGGGGTTCTTAAGGGGGATAGGAGTTGAGACTATGGCTCAAATGGTTCCTATGCCATTGAGGCCGTTGCCCAAGTAAGCTACCTGATGAACAACCCGGACTTGCGATCCACGGCGGCAGGGATCCTGGCAAGCTACTGGCTATGATCCAAGCATAGTAAGCATAGTGAAAATAGTAGCAAAAGCAGCAATAATTAATAGTAATAAGTAATGGTAATCATAGAAATATGTTAATTACTAGTAACAATAGTTTGCAATAGTTATAATTGTAATAATTGTAATTGTAATGATGGTAATACGAGTACTAATACTGACAAAACCGTCGTAATGCCCTCGATGCAAGAAGGCTTCCAGAACACACAGATGAACTTTCAATACATTGCTTGACAGCTTCCTCGCAAGGATCTACGAATAATAATTAGGTTTTTAGTGGGCTTATATTGAGATTATGAAAAATAAAATGGAAACCCTAAACCCTAAAAACCCTAAACCCTAACCGTTTAAAGGTTGAGGGGCTTCTGTGACTGAGGCTGCTGGGCTTGCGGTCGACGGTCCACTGGCAGAGGGCTTCTACAGCTCACCGGTGCTGCTCACTGTGCTGGCTTGCAAGCAGGCTGGGTACAATACTTTGTTGGGTTGCTGTTAAGGAACTTAAATTCAGTTACCATACTGGGTATACATAGTAATAAATATAGTTTCCCCAATATAGTAACTTAGATTAACTTCCTCGCTATATTCCCCCAGTTTCCATTTCATTTTGATTTTCTTTTCCATTTGATTCCCCTTTATAAGGGGATAATATAGTAGCGTAAGGCAAATTCCTCAACAGCAACCCAGTTTAGCTCTTGAGCTCTGGGAGTGTAGCCGTAGCCCTCCTCCTGCGACAGGAGAGGTTAAGGACAAGCAGAAGGCAGGATGCAATGTGGAAGCCTGAATACTTTGCAGAATCATTCATTCCATACAAGTGTAGTGTAGTATAGTATAGTCTGGTATAGTATAGTATACCCTATTCCGAGCAAAGAGGCCCCTACATCAGGTGCAAAGTGTCAGTCCGTCGCGATTCATCTGGGAGGCTGGATAAGGCGAAGTGCTTCAGCTTCATGTGAGCCATTCCTCCTTGCTGCATCCGCTCTGTATATTACAGAACGGTGCAGGTTAATGTGTTGAAATTGGTGCATGCACAAAGTCTGCGTGCAGTTGGCCACTCGTTGCGAAAAAGATGTTGCCGTGTGGCATATCAAGACTGCGGTCGGCGGCACAGCACAAGTTGGGCTGTGTTCAGTGAGCGCATCTCGTTTGTGCTGGTGAGTTTCCTACTTTAGTTTCCAGTGTCAGTGCATATATCTCCGTGTCTACTGCTGTTACCACTAGAACACCCCAAGCCCCAAAACCCTAAAACCTAGACGTCAAAACCCTAAACCCTAAACCCTAAAACCCTAAAACCCTAAACCCTTAAACCCTAAACCCTAAACCCTGCATGTGACTCATAGCATCGTTTGTTGTCATCTTTCTTTGTGGACAGATCTCGGCTCCCAGGGGACTGCGAGACATATGGACCACTGAGGCCCAGAGCTTAAGCCTCCCTTAGGGTTTTAGGGTTTAGGGTTTTAGGGTTTAGGGTTTAGGGTTTAGGGTGTAGGGCTAAGCTCAAGGAGAGATCTTGCAATCCCTGACTTCCGCTTTGCTGGACAGACCCTGGCCGCTTGTCTGCGTGGACCTTAGAGAGCCGCCTTAAGCTTTAAACACCAAATTCCCTGTTTAGGGTTTAGGGTTTAGGGTTTGGGGTTGGTTTAGGGTTTAGGGTTTAGGGTAGGATTTAGGGGTTTAGGGTTTAGGGTCGCCCCCCATCCCAAGAAGTGAAGAATCCCCATGCTGGGAACCCACATGTCAGGGGGCAGGGGGTAGATTTTCGTATTAAATATTAGGCACACCCCCTTTCTGCTGGTTGCATGGAACCCTAAACCCTAAACCCTAGACCCTAAACCTTTGCGAGACGAGCTGAGGACTCATGGGTCAAACCCAGAATGTCGAAGAAGGTGGGGTATACTATTGGGGTTACATAGGGAATAATGAAAAAAGGAAACTATTATAGTATAATAGGGTATATATTGGGGGTTATAGTCCCCCTTAAGTAGATAGAATATGGGGTATATGGGGATCTTATGATAATTTATACCCAAAGCTATATTCTATCTACTTAAGGGGGACTATAAGTGTGCTATAATGTTATTCCATATCCGATGTGCGTATGCAGAAGATATGGATTCTTTTTCGCGTGTGTAGAAATTGGGTACCACCCCCCCTCAGTGACAGTTGGATAATAAGTATATTGTGGTTCTGTATAGCCCTGAATAGGACCCCTAATATAGACTGTTACTGGGTGGGGGCAGTACCCAATGTATATAAACAAACATATTGATGTCTGCAGAATATTTCGGATGGCGTGCTGTATCAGGTGCCCCGCCCATCACTCCGCCCGAAGTTGAGGTAAACCGCCGGCGAAAGGTTGGGACCTGAGATGTATGGGTAGGGATAACTTTAAACCCTAAATAGTAGTTTCCATTCATTGTCCATTAACCCCAATGTAACCCCAACCCTAAACCCTAAATCCTAGACCCATTATCCCAATAAAACCCCAATATAACCCCAATGTGGGGTCCCCTTTTCGTGGTCCTGGTAGCTTTTCCGGGTTACTCATTAGGGAAGTTCTGGACCCCTTCAAGGCGAGAATTGTATTTTTTTGGGGTTTACACGGTCTACTACGATGCCCATTGTGCTGGCAGGACTACCTGCACAAACTCGGGATCCAAAAAGACCATGAGTACGAGCCTCGGTCAGAGCGTGCCAGCCTAGCTGCTGCCATTCAGGACGTAAATTACACACAGACAATTGTATATATACATACATATATATACACATATACAGCTACACATGTACGTTTACATATATGTGCTATTATGCGTGTGTATATATATATATATACATATGTGTGTGTATGCATACATGTGCACCCACACTATACACGCATAAACGCGCAGATGTGTCCCCGACCCCCAAAGTCTGCGTGCCAGGAAGTTTGCCGGCTACACGCCTCCGGTTCCGCCTATTATGACTGCAGAGGTGCGATTCACAGGGTGATACTATAGGGGATATATAGGGATAATGGAAAAGAAAATGGAAACTATTATAATAGGGTTATATAGGAGTTATATAGGGGTTATATAGGGATAATGGAAAAGAAAATGGAAGCTACTATAGTAGGGTTACATAGGGTTTAGGTTTCGGGTTCAGGGCTTGGGGTTTGGGGTTTTCAGGGCTTGGGGTTTAGAGTTTGGGGTTTGGGGTAGTCTGGAACCTAAAGACTGAACCGCCTAAACCCTAAACCTTAAACCCTAAACCCTAAACCCTAAACCCGCACTCTACCCTCCCCAAACGTACATGCAACCCCGGGCCTCCTCTTTGTAGACCAGCGGTTTCTGCCCCAAACCTCAAACCCAAAACCTAAGCCCAAAACCCGAAATCTTAAAACCTAAGCCCAGAAGCCTAAACCCTAAACCCTACATAACCCTATTATACTAGCTTCCATTCTCTTTTCCCTTATCCCTATATATACATATATATATCCCCTATAAGTCTTCCTGGTAAAGCTGTGGCTCTGCCTGTGAGCCTGTGTGCAGGCACCGGACAGGCTTGAACACACGGGTGAAAAGGGCGAGGCCTCGCGCTGGGCTCCCTTAGTAAGGTTTAAGGCTAGAAGAAAACTGAAGCGACTGTGCTGCTTGGTTTAGGGTTTAGGGTTTAGGGCTTAGGGTTTAGGGCTTAGGGTTTAGGGAAATAATAGCAAAAATAGCAAAAATAGTAGTAATAGGGCTCAGTAGGGATTTTCGGAATGGGTCATGGGGACTCTTCTCAGGGTTTCTTCAGTAATCGGGGACTACTACAGGGATCCGTTCCCATACAGCATCTCTGGGACTACATCGATACTAGGGATTATAGGGCTTACAGAGGAACATTGGGATTTAGGGATTATATAGTAATATTGGTGTTATTTAGGGATTATATAGTAATATTGGGGTTATTTAGGGATGATATAGTAATATTGGGGTTATTTAGGGATGATATAGTAATATTGGGGTTATTTAGTGATTATATAGGAATATTGGGGTTATTTAGGGATTATATAGGAATATTGGGGTTATTTAGGGATTGTGAAGTATGTTGGGGTTCTAGGAATTATATGGCAATATTGGGGTTATATGGGGATAATGGAGAGAAAATGGAAACTACTATCCTGTGCGCTTTGGCGTCTGTGCGGGTACTGGGGAGTTCGTGGCTGCATTCTTGAGTGGCCAGTCTACGGTAGGCTCCCCTGCGATGGTGAGAGGGATGGTATCCTGAGGCCGCAGATCTCTGCCGGTCGACCCCATCCATCCATCCATCCATCCATCCATCCATCCATCCATCCATCCATGGAAACTACTATATATTGTAGGGTTTTATAGGAGTTATATTGGGGTTATGTAGGGATGACGGAAAAGAAATCGAAGCTGCTAAAAAGGAGAAATGCCGACTTCGCCGCAATAAATGGAAACTACTATAGTATATAACCCCAACGTACTCCATTTCATTTTCCATGTTCTTTTCCATTTGATTCTCCATTATAGTAGTTTCCATTTATTTTCCATTAATGCATGTTTACAACAATGTGCTGCCTGCAGGGCGAGGATTTTGAAATGAATGCCATCGATGTAAACAGCCGGAGGCTTAGCCTGGTCCAGCACGTTCGACACACTTTCGGCCATGTGAGCTATAGTCTAAACTCCTTAAAGGGGGTTAATAGGGGATTATATGGGGGACTACTATAGGGGATATTAAGGGGGATACTCGGAGTTTAGACTATAGCTCATGTGCTTGTCTGCCACCTTGGGCGAGACGAAGATGATGCACCCAGACTGTCGACCGTGTATGTTGGAGTACTGAGAAAGGTCAAGCATCGGTTCGTGACTTTTGATGCCTGATTACTGCTATCCCGACCTTTCCCTATCTTGTGACAGTTAGAATTAGAAGCTTTCCTATCAATTCGCTCCCTCAACAGCCCCTGGAAAGTGCAATCCCGCATTGGCATGACATATTCGCAGATATGGTAGTTTCCCAAAATAGGGGGACCCAATATAGACCCCAAAATCTTGGAATCCTTTTTTTTGGGGATCCCCAAAAAGGTACCCGTAATTTTGGGAAGCCCCCATCTGTAGGATTCCCTGACAAACCACCCAGAACCGGGAGACCTAAACCCTAAACCCTAAGCCCAGAATCCCGCTTCATCCCGACCCTAAACCCTAAACGCTGAATCCTAAACCTTAAACCCTAAATCCTAAACTAAACCCTAAACCTTAAACGCTGAATCCTAAACCTTAAACCCTAAACCCTAAGCCCTAAACCCTAAACCCTAAACCCTAAACCCTAAGCCATGAACCCTAAATCCGGCTCACAGGTCGAGATGACTTCCGGGTGAACTACCTCCGCCGGCTGTCGCACCGGCAGGTTTGGGTACCGCAGGCCGGGCCCCGCCAAGGGGCAACCATACCAAGAGTTGTTTAGGGTTTAGGGTTTAGGGATTAGGGTTTAGGGTTTAGGATTTAGGGTTTAGGGATTTAGGGATTTAGGAATTAGGGTTTAGGGATTTAGGGATTTAGGGTACTTGGGGTGTGGGGACCTGCCTTGAGCCTAGTGCTTGCTGGGGATCCTCGATGCATGGACGAGGAGGAGGAGGAGCTAATGAGTCCCCACAGCTTGCAGTGTAGTGCTCATGACGACGAAAGCGCTGGCGCATTGCCCCCTAAACCCTAAACCCTAAACGTCATGTCGTGTGGGAGTGGTCCTGAAAGAAAATCCTAGCAACAAAGGTGTGGACAAACCAGAAGGGGATGAAACAAGCAACAAGGGTAATCATGCGGTAATTTCCCAAATAGGGGACCCCAATATAGACCCCCCAAAAATGTAGTCCTTATTATGGGGACCCCCAAAAAGGTTCCCCTAATTTTGGGAAATTCCCATGTATGGGACAAGGGAGGAAGCAGCGTGACGTCTCAGCGATGGGCCGTGAGCTTTTGCAATCCCTCCAAAGCATCCCGGAGCATGCTGGGAACAAAGGAACCGTGGTTTAGGGTTTAGGGTTTAGGGTTTAGGATGTCGAAGATATGGCGCAGGCCCCAGCCCGGAATCCTAGCTGGAATCCTACACCCCTAACCCCAAGCCCTAAACTCCAAAGCCCCAAACCCTCCCAAAACTACTTAAGCCCCCCTAAACCCTCAACCCTAAACCCTTAAACCCCTAAACCCTAAACCCTAGACCCTATACCCGAAATGACCCCTAAACCCACAACCCTACATCCTCTTAAACTCCCGGTTGAACTGCTGGTCTTTTGAGGCGCAGAAGCCGAAGCAGCATCAGACAGTAATCATCTTCGACTGGGATGACACGCTCTTGTGCACATCTTTTCTCAACCTCCGCCAGGCGGGGTTTAGGGTTTAGGATTCAGGGTTCAGGTTTTAGGGTTCAGGGGTTCTGGGTTTAGGTTTTGGGGTGTAGGGTCTAGGGGTCCAGACCTCAGGTTTGCCCTCTCTGAAGACTCCTTGTGGTTGTTTGAGGGGTGTGCAGGAGCTCTTGACCTTTTCTGGGAGTGCCCAGACTTCAGATTTTTGGTATTTTGGGTGCCTATTTTGGGGTCCCCTCTGTTGGGAACCCTTCACCCTTTGCCCTAAACCCTAAACCGGAAAGTACCATCCTAAGCGACCCTGTTTTGCTTGCAGGAGCATGGCCTCTCGCACGCAGTTGAGAGATGCTTAAAAGTTCCTCGGCCAGCACCCAGATTCTGAGGATAGGTCCAGCTGTAGCTTACTTGGGGGTTTAGGGTTTAGGGGGTGTAGGAGCCATAATCTAAACTCCTTGAAAAGGGATTATATACAGGATTATTTAAGGGACTGCTATAGGGGTTATATAAGGGAGTACATAGGGGATTAATATGTTGGTTATTAGGGGGGGATGCAGTTAGAGTGATCCTTGCCTAGTTAGGTGGATGGTACCACCACCCTACTCCACCAGCCAAACGCCTGAAACCCGATCTCCAGACCCAACCCTACCAGGGCGAGTGCCTGAAGCCAATCCTATCACCCCACCCTACTACCCAAATGCCTGAAACATCCTTTAATGTTAGGGATCCTCTATATTTTGTTGGATATGGGATTCCTTATATTTATTTTTTAAAAGGACCCGGTAATGTGGGGGAAGTTACCCTAAGCCCTGACAGCAGCCACCAAAACCATGTACCGCACCTCATCCTGAAACCACCGTAGTATTCCTACAAGCCCGATTTACTATAGTAGTTTCCATTTCCTTTTCCATTATCCCTATAGAACCCCAATATGCTACTTCACTTTCTATTTTTTTCCATTATCCTTATACAGCCCCTACATGCTATTTTACTTTCCATTTTCCATTGTCCCTATATAATCCCAACATACTATAGTAGTTTCCATTTTTCTTTTCCATTATCCATGAAAATCCACCCATTCATCCACCTAGGCCTCCACCACCCTTACCTCCCATGAAACGTCAACTCCCGAATCTGTATCACCCTTAACGGGCAAGGTGAGGCCCAGGGTGGGGGCTTTGTTTAGGGTTTGGGGTTTAGGCCATATACGTAAATAGGCAAGGTATCATCTAGCTGATACTCGGAGTTTAGACTATTTCTCATAAGAAGCGCAATTGATGTCCATGTGAGAGTGGCAGAAACCTGCAGCAAGCAGTGCCAAGTGAGGAAATCGAAGCAGCATCAAAGAAGCTTGTGCAATTGGCACAGCGCATGGTGTGGGCCTCTGTCAGTTGGAGATTTCTCAACAATGAGGGTACCCTAAACCCTAAATCCCAAATCCTAAACCCTAGGGACCCTAGAGATCCGGACGTCCCTTTTGGGATCCCGAACAGAAGCTGAGAAAATCCCCCCCCTCGTGCTTTATCTGCGGCTTGTTATCAGGGCTCCGAGTTTGCGGTCTTCAACTTAGAGCCCTCACACGGTTTAGGGTTTAGGGATT